TTGGAGGTATTACAGTGCTCCTGCTTTATCATTCGTTGCAGGTCATGTTTTCTGCTTCTAATCAGCTTGCTGTTTAATGCAGGAGGTTGTTGTTATGATTCGGGCAAGATTTGACAAAGCAAAGGAGGAAGTGAACTCCGATCTGGCTATTTTTGCTGCAGATCTGGTAGGAATTCTTGAAAAGAATGCAGAAAACCATCCTGAGTGGCAGGAAACCATTGAAGACTTGCTTATTTTGGCTCGGAGGTGTGCCATGACATCACCTGGTGAATTTTGGCTTCAATGTGAAGGCATAGTTCAGGAATTGGATGATAAGCGCCAAGAACTTCCTCCTGGAATGTTGAAGCAGCTGTATACCAAGATGCTTTTCATTCTTACCAGGTGTACTAGATTGTTGCAGTTTCACAAGGAAAGTTGGTTGGCTGAGGATGAACAGGTGGGCCAACTTCGCCATTCTAGAATCTTTCTTTCAGCTGATAAGAGAATTCCTTCAGGGATAGGAAGAGAGGTTAAAAGTTCAAGTGCTGCGAAGGCAGCAACGGCAGCTCAATCTAGGAAATTTTATAGTCAAGAACAACGTGCCTTGCATTGGAAAAGGGACCATATGGTACTGCCTTCTCTTGCAGCTGATGATTTTCCAAAGAGCTTGGATTCTCCTGCAAGTAGAGATCGCATAGCTTCTTGGAAGATACTCCCATCTCCAGGATTAAAAAGCACAAAGGAAGCTTCTTCATTGAAAGATCAGAAGGATGGTAAGATTGAAACCTTGAGAAAGAGAGGAACTTCTGATGTAGATTTGGCTGCTAAGTTGACTGAGTTTCCCCCTGCAAAAGAATCTCAAGAGCATTCTTCCAAGCATCAACACAAGGTTTCTTGGGGTTACTGGGGAGATCAGCAGAATATTTCTGAAGAAAGTTCTATCATTTGCCGTATTTGTGAGGAGGAGGTTCCCACATCAAATGTAGAAGAACATTCTAGAATCTGTGCAGTGGCTGATCGATGTGATCAGAATGGCCTTAGTGTTGACGATCGTCTTGTAAGAATTGCTGAAACTCTTGAGAAGATGATGGAGTCCACTCATAAGGACATTCAACATGGAGTTGGAAGCCCAGATATTGCAAAAGTATCAAATTCAATTATGACTGAGGAATCTGATGTTCTATCTCCAAAACTGAGTGACTGGTCCAGGAGAGGCTCAGAAGACATGCTAGATTGTTTTCTTGAAGCTGATAATTCCCTTTTGATGGATGACCTTAAGGGTTTGCCTTCCATGTCGTGTAAAACTCGTTTTGGTCCTAAGTCAGACCAAGGAATGACAACATCTTCTGCAGGAAGCATGACTCCGAAGTCTCCAGTATTGACACCAAAAATCAGTCCGATAGATATGCTATTGTCAGGCAAGAGTACATACTCCGAGCAAGATGATATACCACAGGTATCCATCTATCTAGTTTCACTATCAATGAATGATTTGTAAGAGCTGTTGACCTACTGTTTTATGACAGGTTGCAGATATAGTGGTTTTAGGGATTGAGGGGCTGATTTTAAGCTAAATTGGAGGTGAAAATGATGGGGAAAAGAGAGCAAAAAAAGAAATAAGAATCCTAGGAGTCAAATGTGGGTTTCTTTATGCATAACAAATAAAGATGATAGAAAGATCCTTAGAAATCAAACCTATGGTTGACTACATCACATGATCACATTTGCTTCCAACAACATAATCACAAAGCATAATTTGCTGAAATAGTTCTGAAACATTTTACTGATTCTTATTATTTAATGGAAGACTTTACAAATGTTTATGCATATTCCTAAGGTTCCTAACTTACTAAGAAATAGAATTCCCATTCTAACTATGACTAAGACTCATAATAAATACTCAACAATAATAGAAGAAATTATTAATTTTCATCAATATAGGATCCATTGAATGTTTTACCTTGTATGAATTTTGTTGTCTTAATCTGGTGCTTTTCTCCATCCAATGTGACATTTGTGTGTAGCATGGAATAATAATTCCCTATGCATATGCAGATGAATGAACTTGCTGATATTGCAAGATTTGTAGCAAATACGCCATTGGATGATGACCACTCCATGTCCTATTTCTTATCTTGTCTTGAAGGCCTTAGAGTTGTGATAGACCGCAGAAAATTTGATGCACTTACAGTGGAGACATTTGGGACACGTATTGAGAAGCTGATTAGGTTCGTCTGTTTCTGCTGCTTATTTTTTAATGGTTTTGAGTGAAATATGCAGTGTAGCAGGCACAGTGACTAAAAGATCTATACTTTGACATGTGGAAGGTGCTAATTGCCACTCTGTTGTGCTTTTCTTATGGTATGATAATCTTGATTTCATAGGGAGAAGTACTTGCAGCTTTGTGAGCTAGTAGATGATGAAAAGCTAGATTTAGCAAGTACTGTGATTGATGAGGACACTCCCTTGGAAGACGATGTTGTTCGTAGTTTGAGGACGAGCCCTATACATTCTTCTAAGGATCGAACCTCTATAGATGACTTTGAGATAATAAAACCAATCAGTCGGGGAGCATTTGGACGTGTATTCTTAGCTAAAAAGAGAACAACTGGGGATCTTTTTGCAATAAAGGTACCTAAGTTCAATTTTCTTTTTCTCATGTTCTTTTGTATATTTTTGAAAATTTCAACTGCTGCTTGAAATCCATGTACTTCTTGCTTCTTTGGAAGTACTTTTCATTGTTATGCCATTTTGTGCAGTTTGTAATGGAGTAAATGGACCATGGTTATGTCATGTGATTGTGTAAAAGCAATGTCTTATTATTATTATTATTATTATTATTATTCTATATATTTTTTAAAATAATTGACCAAGAAGTTAGT